CCACATATCAAGAAGCTGTGGTAAGTAGTTGCTGAGAAAACTGTTACGAAAATTTCCTACTATCTATTGATCATTAATTATGTCAAAATTTAACTAAGTCGGCAAACATGAAGTGGATGAGCTACAGACCTGAAATCAAATCCCACAGTATGGGACCATGTGATAATGCTGTATACCAAATATCAAGAGGCTGTGATAAGAAGTTGCCAAGAAAACTGTTACGAAAATTTCCTACCATTGACCATAAATGTAGAAAATTTAACTAAGTCGGCAAACAGGAAGTGGATGAGCAACCTGAAATCATATCCCACAATATGAGACCATGTGTTGATGCTGTATACCAAATATCTAGAGGCTGTGATAAGTAAATGCTGAGAAAACTGTTACGAAAATTTCTTACTATTGACCATTAATGTTGAAAATTTAACTAAGTTGGCAAACAGGAAGTTGAGGAGGGACAGATCTGAAATCCAATCCCCCGGTATGAGACCATATGCTGTGTGCCAAATATGAAGAGGCTTTGATAAGTAGTTGCTGAGAAAACTGTTACAAATATTTCTTACTATTGACCACTAATGTTGAAAATTTAACTAAGTCGGCAAACAGGAAGTGGATGAGCGACAGACCTGAAATCGAATCCCACAGTATGGGACCATATGTTAATGCTGTAAACCAAATATCAAGAGGCTGTGATAAGTAGTTGCCAAAAAAACTGTTACGAAAATTTCCTAACATTGACCATTAATGTCCAAAATTTAACTAGGTCCGCAAACAGGAAGTAGATTAGCGATAGACCTGAAATCGAATCCGACAGTATGGGACCATGTGTTGATGCTGTATACCAAATATCAAAAGGCTGTGATAAGTAGTTGCTGAGAAAACTGTTACGAAAATTTCCTACCATTGAGCATTAATGTAGAAAATTTAACTAGGTCAGCAAACAGGAAGTAGATGAGCGACAGACCTGAAATCGAATCCCACAGTATGGGACCATGTGTTGATGCTGTATACCAAATATCAAGAGGCTGTGATAAGTAGTTGCTGAGAAAACTGTTACGAAAATTTCCTGCTTTTGACCATTAATGTCCAAAATTTAACTAGGTCAGCAAACAGGAAGTGGATGAGCGACAGACCTGAAATCAAATCCCACAGTATGGGACCATGTGTTGATGCTGTATACCAAATATTAAAAGGCTGTGATAAGTAGTTGCTGAGAAAACTGTTACGAAAGTTTTTGCCCCGCCCGCCGCCCAACATTCACCATACTATAACCCGGGTTTGCACCAGTGCAACCCGGCCAAAAATTGACCTTAACTTATTACCTATCAAAGGTCACAGTGGCTTTGACCATTTGACCTCAGTGGGACAGGTAGAACTTTACAGGGTGTATCCATATATGAAGTTTCAATGTTATAATATAGTTTTATTTGTACTGAAGTTAATGACCATAAACAAAAGGTTAACCAAAAAGGTTGACCAATGCCAACATGTGGGTCATGACAAAAATTTCCACTTCGAAAAATTGTAACTTACAATATTCTGACTTGATGGAAGAGCTAAGATAAGTTATAATAATGAAAACAAAATAAACTGCATAACAAGAGGGCCATGATGGCCCTCAGGTCGCTCACCTGTATATAGCCCCCCCCACCCCCACCCCCCAACGTTGCAGGGCCAATTTTAACCCAAGGGCTTTTATTTGCACAAACTTGGTAGACACCCATAAGAAGATGTTTCATGCTAAACATCTAAGCTCATTGGGCTTTTTAAAAGAAGATTTTTTTAAGTTTTTACTATACACATATAGTTAAAAACAATGACACCCCTGGGGCCGGACCAGTTTTGACCCCAGGGCTTTTATTTGAACAAACTTTGTAGACACTAACTAGATGACGTTTCATGCTTAATATCTAAACTCTAGCTATTTGGTTTTTTTCAAAGAAGATTTCAAGTTTTTGCTATACACATATAAGGAAAAGCAATGATCCCCCGGGCGGGGCCAATTTTGACCAAAGGTCTTTTATTTGAACAAACTTTGTAGACACTCACTAAAAGATGTTTCATGCTTCATATCTTAACTCTAGCTATTTGGGTTATTTCAAAGAAGATTTTTTAAGTTTTTGCTATACACATCAGAGTTCCAGATAATTTTTTGGCACTGGGGGTAATTACCATAATGACCATTCTCTGATATTAAGGCTTCAGCCATAAGGCCTTTACCATATTCTTAATTTTATTTAACATTGTTTACAACAAAAATCGGTGACAATTTATAAACAATAACGTTACAAATAATCACCTGTCAATTGCCGATTTTTGTATATTTATTGCACATTCATTAGCCCATACAATGCCAGCTTTAAATTTATGACAAGTCAAATATTTCATTCACATTTCAATACCTGAAATTTGCAGCCACGGATGTTTTTTTTCCCAATTTCAAAGTGTTGTATTGCGATTCACAGTTATGTGCGCCCTTTTCACTTTAAATAATTATACACTATCTAAAATGTCTTCAACAATTGGGTTTACAATAATTATTGTTTTAGCCAGGGTCTTTCTATTTGAAAGACCCTGTTTTAGCAGGCAACTCAGTCGTGTTAAAAAAATTGTCAATTTTCCTAAGCAGCCATGATGTAAGTCTTTATAAATAAACGCTTGCAATTGTTAGGGAAATCAAGCAACACATTTTACCAAGCGCCTATGCGATAAAGACGTAATTTGACTGGTTTACAGAATGAAAAATAGTTGGAGTTATTTTTTCGGGTATTAAACTGGCAAAAGAAACACAGTCAACTGTTAAACGGAAACCGAATCGGCTGTTTCGAAAATGAAAGTACACACAAAATACACTTCAATTTTTCATTCTTTATTTAATTTATAGCATGCGTAAATGAACGCAAGAAATTTGCAATATGGTGCGTATTTAGTTGATTTTGAAGCGTAAAATACGCCGATACGCACGTTATCTGGAACTCTGATGTCACATATAAGGAAAATCAATGACCCCCTGGGCGGTGCCAATTTTGACCCCAGGGCTTTTATTTGAACAAACTTGGTAGACACCTATTAGAACATGTTTGATGCTAAATATCTTAGCCATAGCTCTTTGAGTTCTTTAAAAGAAGATTTTTTAAGTTTTTACTATATGCATATAGGGAAAATCAATGACCCCCCGGGGCAGGGCCAATTTTAACCCCAGGGCTCTTATTTGAACAAACTTGGTAGACACTTATTAGAACATGTTTCATGCTAAATATCTTAGCTCTAACTCTTTGGGTTCTTTAAAAGAAGATTTTTTAAGTTTTTACTATATGCATATAGGGAAAATCAATGACCCCCTGGGGCGGGGCCAATTTTGACCCCAGGGCTTTTATTTGAACAAACTTGGTAGACACCTATTAGAACATGTTTGATGCTCAATATCTTAGCCATAGCTCTTTGAGTTCTTTAAAAGAAGATTTTTTAAGTTTTTACTATATGCATATAGGGAAAATCAATGACCCCCCGGGGCGGGGCCAATTTTGACCCCAGGGCTCTTATTTGAACAAACTTGGTAGACACCTATTAGAACATGTTTGATGCTCAATATCTTAGCCATAGCTCTTTGAGTTCTTTAAAAGAAGATTTTTTAAGTTTTTACTATATGCATATAGGGAAAATCAATGACCCCCCGGGGCGGGGCCAATTTTGACCCCAGGGCTTTTATTTGAACAAACTTGGTAGACACCCATTAGAACATGTTTCATGCTAAATATCTTAGCTCTAGCTCTTTAGGTTCTTTAAAAGAAGATTTTTAAGTTTTCACTATATGCATATAGGGAAAATCAATGACCCCCTGGGGTGGGGCCAATTTTGACCCCAGGGCTTTTATTTGAACAAACTTGGTAGACACTCACTAGAAGATGTTTTATGCTAAATATCTAAGCTCTAGCTCTTATGGTTTTTTAAAAGAAGATATTTAAAGTTTTTTCTTTCGGTTGCCATGGCAACCAGAGTTCTGCATGGAATTAAATTCTTTGAACAATTTGTGACCACCAAAGGAACATTCCTGTGAAGTTTGGATGAAATTGGCTTAGTGGTTTATGAGGAGATGTCATTTAAAGTAAAAGTTTACGGCCGGACGCCGGACGGACAGACGCCGGACGAAAAGCAATCACAAAAGCTCACCCTGTCACTTTGTGACAGGTGAGCTAAAAATGACATGGTAAAATAAAAAACAAAATCACAATTCAAACATTTCATCATTCATGAATTACATATAAAAGCTATTATAATACTGATGTATGTGAAAAATGAGTTAAAATGTATTTCTAATTACATGTACATGTTAGTATACAAGTAAGCATACTTGCTTTTTCTATCTTTTCTTTCTATAATCATGAGAAAAAAGATCATAAATTAAATAGAAATTTTAAAAACAGATACATGTACATGTAGTTATCAACAATTTGAACTTAATAATACACTTTCCTTTATCTCTATAAACCTGTGTACATTGTAGATCAAACCACTTGGTTACCACAATACCCTATTTTAAAGTTAATAACTAGTGGTCATGAAAATCTCTTTTACAACAGCATTGCATCAATCTTCCACTAAAAGTTCTGAACAATTCAAGAATGTTAAAAAACATTACAAAACAGGGCCATTATGACCTTTTTAATGCTCACAAAAGTACAAACTGAATGTCAATGTTACAAATGAACATCATGACAATATAACCTTTATTTTAAAAATGATAGCTTTATCATATTTGGCCTTGCAGGTCATCTGAAGCACTGTGAGAACAAGACTCCAGAAGTGATTACATACCAAAATATCAATACTTGGGTCGATAAATTAAAAGCCCTATGTATGTAGAAAGAGCAGTTTTTTTAGCAATTTGGTAATTGGCAGACAAAACTTTGAACAATTTGGAGGCATATTTTTTATTGAAACTATTCTATGGGACATAGTGGCAAGTGCAACATATAAAACATTCACACATCAGTTAACACTGGCTTAGAGTGTATAAATCTGTATCTCTGCTGCCTGCAGTTTACAAAACTTTAATTTAATTTGAATTTTGGAAAAACCTATTCCAAAATGCATGTATGAAATAAATATGTCGATATATTTCTTTTCAATCAGCCAATGGCACATGCACAAAATCATTGCTAAATGGTTTAACAGCATAGTATCTTGTTCCAGAACATTCTAATATGTTTACACACAGATTTCAGGTGTGTTAAATAACAAAAACATTCTACGTTATAACTCTATTGAAAATTGACCATAGAATTATGGAAACAAAATTAATTTATAAGCTGAATTCAACATTTGATATAGATATGGTTAAATTCTGAATTTAGAAAACTGCAAACTCAGCACATATGTTATTAATAGTGAGCCTTTAATGTGATGTGTTAATGCCATTCCATAAAAACAGTGAATAGTCCCTAAAGTAAAAAAAAGTGACACCTGGTGTGGAGCTAGTTTACACCTTTTGGAACAGTATTTGAAAAAACTTGGCTGAAATATACTTGCAAATATTGGCTTGTATACCACATATTTAAGTTTTAAGTTTCAAAGAATATTTTTTCTATACATAATTTCCTCTTTAATATGACCCTAATACACATAGAGTCACTAATTTAAACCTGTGAGTCTGTGATATTAAGATGCCCACAAGAAAAAGTATTAGCTCTTTGACATTGTCTCTATGAATAGAGGGTTTTGTAAAATCACATGAACACTATGTTTAGTAATTTGAACAAACTTATTAAACGCTTACTTGATAACATTACATGCAAATGTAACAAATATCTAGGTTCTAAGTCAAGCAATTTTGAAGAAGATTTCTGAACAAGACCAGACTTTGTAGAAGTTAACATAACAATGTTTCATTAAACAAGAGGGCCATGATGGCTCTAGATCGCTCACCTGACTTATCAAACTCATCCAAACAATTACCTAGACAAGCATTCTGACCAAGTCTCATGACAGGTGAGTCAAAAATGTGACCACTACAATGTTAACAAGGATTATCCATATTTGAGCAGTGCGACCTAGTTTTTTACCCAGGTGACACATATTCAAACTTGACCTAGAAATCATCAAAACAAACTTTCAGACCAATTTCCAGGATACTTGGATCAAAACAGTAGCAACTAGAGTGTTAACAAGATTTTTCTATTTTTAGCTCCAGTGACCTAGTTTCACATGCGATTCGAACTCATCCAAGGCTAGACAAGCATCCTGACCAAGTTTGATGATAATTGAGTCGAAAATGTGACCACTAGAATGTTAACAAGGTTTTCCCATATTTGGGCGGTGTGACCTAGTTTTTCATCCAAGATGACCCATGTTCGATCTTGACTTAGAAATCATCAAAACAAACTTTCAGACCAATTAACAGAATATTTTGATCACAACAGTAGCCACTAGAGTGTTAACAAGATTTTTCTATTTTTAGCTCCTTTGACCTAATTTTTCATCCAAGATGACCCATGTTCGATTTATTCCCAGCAATGACCTAGACAAGTTTCCTGACCAAGTTTGATGACAATTGAGTCAAAATTGTGACCACTAGAGTGTTAACAAGGTTTTTCTATTTTTAGCTCCTGTGACCTAGTTTTTCATCCGAGATGACCCATGTTCAAACTCATCTGAGCTATTACCTAGACAAACATCTTGATCAAGTTTGATGATGATTGATGCAAAAATGTGACCGCTAGAGTGTAAACAAGGTTTTTCTATTTTTAGCTCCAGTGACCTAGTTTCTCATCCGAGATGACCCATGTTCGAACTCATCCGAGCTATCGACTAGATAAGCATCCTGACCAAGTTTGATGATGATTGAGGCAAAAATGCGACCGCTGGAGTGTTAACAACTAAATGTGAACGGATGACGGACAATCATCGATCCTAAATGCTCATCCTGAGCATGCTCAGGTGAGCTAAAAATATAAGCTCTTGCTCTAGCAGTTTTGGAAAGATTTCTATTTCTAGCTTCCTTTACTCAGATAGACAATAAACTCTATTCACCATTTGAACTACTTTTTGTAAAGTTACAAGCAAAGAACAAATTTGCTATCATCAAAAGGCCTTATGGTGTGTGAGGGGATGTAAGTGGAAACAGTTATACACACAGAACGGGCAATGGACAGATGACAGATAGCCACTAACATGTAACAATACCTCTATTTTCTTTTTCTTAGAAAAAAAGGTCTAGCTAAAAAAAACATTTTGAATTGTGCATTAATTTTTTATAGTTAAAAGTCTTTATCGTTCTCTATACTGAGCTGTGGCATTGACCTATCATGATGACATCTAGCACACTCATAGATAATACATAAATACTTCAAGTTGATATGTGGTACAAAGCTTAAAAGGTTTTCCACACTAGTCTTGTCACCTTATAGATTTAATCAATGATTTTCCTGTTAATAAATCATAGTCACTTGACATAATATTAGCAGGAATACCCCACACGTTTCTCCTATAAATGTTAAGGCAAGTATACACATCTGGTTTGTATGTCATTTTACACTTTATTCCCATATTCCGGATAGCTTGTTCAGCATTTAGTACCTGTTCATGATCATTGAAATCATTATTGTATATACAAATAACATGCCTGTTTGAATGATCAAATGTTGACACTTTAGCAGAGTTACATGGTGATGTATCATTTATGACAGCATTTGCAACGATACTCCAAAGGTGATCCACTTTTCCTCCTGAATCAGCAAAGAACAGCCATTTTCCACTCTTAACATTATGATTTAATGCAAGTTCCCTGATATTATGGAAGTTTACAGGTCTACCTGATGATAACAACTGCTCCCAAGACTCAGACAAGCCACCTAGATCTGGCTCATCAGCCCATCCTTGTGTTGGTTCACGCCTAACACATACCCATCCAAAACCATCATCCCTGTGAATGAATAGATACAAAATGTGTTACTAGAAACTTAAATATATAAACACACAGGACTACTTTTTCAAGGCAACTTTACATTTAAGATTAAACCTTTCCCTGCCAATAAGATGTTTATACCTGTCCCACTGGCTGTACTACCATTTGTCTAGTATACCTATCTTTGAGATATTATATCTGATATTAAATTAATTTATTGATTCTTTAAAATTTTATATCATAACTTTGGTTTGTTCTGGACAAAAAAAAAATATATTATTCAAACTTTGTTCATTTTTTGGTATTCAAATGTGGGTTTTATATATCTAATATTTATAAAGTAAATGAAACCAGCATCCATAAATTTTCCTGAAATAGAAAATGCCTGTAATTCTTAGAAATATTCTAGGCAAATACATCACAATTAAATAATTAAAGCTCTGGCAGCCAAAGGTTGAAATGGCACAGTATAACAAAGCTCCTCCACTACCAGCAAACAGGTTAAATGACATTGTGTAACAAAGCTTTGCAAGCAAAAGGGTTAAATGGTTTAGTATAACAAATTTCTGCCAGTGGAGGGTTAAATGACATTCTATAAACAATCTCATTAAAAATTTACAAAAGATTAAAGATTAAACAAAAGCCAGCGCCAGGTCGGGACCATGCTCAACTTTTTCTTACTTCTAACATCAAACACATTGCAAGAAAAATATTTCAGTAAAGAATACTCCTGGATAACATGTCTTGAACAAATTATACTTCAAATTTTATTTTTGATCTTGACAGTCAAGGTTACACTTAAATTAATCATCATTGCCAGTTTGTTATAAGTATTTTTTGTCCAAGAATGAACCAAATAAATATGAAAGCTATGAATATATCAGTAAATTTCAATAATCAAACCATGAAGGTCAATTAAAGTTCAAAATCATATCAAAATGTTCAACATGTCGGCTTTATCATTTTTTTTTTTGTCCAAGTATAAATCAAATTTGTAAATAAACAAGCAATTATCATAGTATTGCAAGCAATCCATAAGTCCCCTACCGGTTAGAACCCCATCAGCATTCTGAAGGGCCATTGGCCATTCACTAATGTTTAAATTTTTCTCTATTTTAAGTAAATTTGTTGGAAATGTTCTTTAAAAGTGATCACAGAAACAAGTTATTATGAACAGACAGACAGACGGACTGAAGGGCACTCTAAAGTTAATATTTGAAACATCCCTGTTACCAAAATATAACATTTTAAAAAGCAAAATTATTAAAGAGGAGATAACTCTGGAATTAAAGATGCAATTACATAAAAATTTTCAGCTCTTTTTGACTTATCACAAATATTGTTATATTTGCCATGTTTTAAGCCTATTTGTTGCCAAGGCAACCAATATTTTTTCAAAATAGGAAGAACAGATAAGACATGCATTATCTCAAGACTGCCATCTACCCACATGTCAAGTTTCATAAAAATATTTCCAGTACTTTTTGAGTTATCACTGGATTCAGTTTATGTGTAAAATTTGCCATATTTTCAGTCTATGTGTTGCCATAGCAACCAGAATTTTCAACATAGGAAGAAAAGAAAAAGATGTGTATAATCTCCAGACTGCCATCTACACATATTACACGTTTCAAAAAAATATTTCTATTACTTTTTGCGTTAACACTGGATCCAGTTTATGTGTAAAAATTGCCATATTTTCAGTCTATTTGTTGCCATAGCAACCAGAATTTTCAACATAGGAAGAAAAGAAAAAGACGTGCATAATCTCCATACTGCCATCTATCCATATATCAAGTTTCATAAAAATATTTCCAGTATTTTTTGCGTTATCACTGGATCCAGTTTATGTGTAAAAAATGCCATATTTTCAGTCTATTTGTTGCCATAGCAACCAGAATTTTCAACATAGGAAGAAAAGAAAAAGACGTGCATTATCTCCATACTGCCATCTATCCATATATCAAGTTTCATAAAAATATTTCCAGTACTTTTTGCGTTATCACTGGATCCAGTTTATGTGTAAAATTTGCCATATTTTCAGTCTATTTGTTGCCATAGCAACCAGAATTTTCAACATAGGAGGAAAAGAAAAAGACGTGCATAATCTCCATACTGCCATCTATCCATATATCAAGTTTCATAAAAATATTTCCAGTACTTTTTGCGTTATCACTGGATCCAGTTTATGTGTAAAATTTGCCATATTTTCAGCCTATTTGTTGCCATAGCAACCAGAATTTTCAACATAAGAGGAAAAGAAAAAGACGTGCATAATCTCCATACTGCCATCTATCCATATATCAAGTTTCATAAAAATATTTTCAGTACTTTTCAAGTTATCGCGGGATCCAGTTTTGTGGACGGACGGACTGACGGACTGACAGACAGACGGACGGACAGACGGACGGACAGACGGAGGGTAAACCTAAAGTCCCCTCCGGTAAACCGGTAGGGGACTAATAAAGAAATGACAATATATATAAAAAGCAAATTTCAATAATTTGACCTTGACAGTCAATCTCAAGCTCTTTGGGTTTTTTAACGCAGATATTTCAGTTTTTTCTTTCAGTTACCATGGCAACCAGAGTTCTGCATGGAACTAAATTCTTTGATCAATTTTTAAAGATGACCACCAAAGAAACATTCCTTTTAAGATTAAATGAAATTGGCTTAGCGGCTTATGAGGAGATGTCGTTTAAAGTCAAAGTTAATGGACGACTGCCGGACAGACGGACGACAGACGAAATGCGATAACAAAAGCTCACCATGTCTCTTTGTGACAGGTGAGCTAAAAATGTCTTGTTCTATTAGGATTGTTGTATCCAAGTTTGAAGACAATACATTCATTTAATAATAACAAATTTATGGCTAATTATAGAAAAAACTTACAAAATTCAATAATTTGACCTTCATTTGGTATACATAAAAGTCTTGTCCTAAGGATTCTTAGTCCAAGAATTCATAATCAACAAAATTATACCCACTTATAGCTAAAATCAACCAAAATTCAAATATTTGACCTTACAGGTAAAGTTCATTGATTAGTAAAGTTCAAGTTCAGTCTGGTCAATTAAAGGTCAAAGGCTTGTTGTATTCAAGTATGAATGCAATTCATTGAGATATAAAAAAAATTATGACTCAGTGTTTAAGTTTTTGGACGGCAACAGTAATTTCAACGACATGACTGTAGCAAAAGCCCTTCTTTTTTTCGAAAAAGTCAAGCTTAAAAGTAATCTAGGTTAATGACTTATTTACGTTGGCACAAAGGTGACATGTGTGTGTTTTTGGCTTGCAGCCACGGCTGCAAGCCCATTTGTTTTGGAAAAGTTGTTCCGGTTAGGTGGTTTCCTGCTTACATTTGTTAGTGCATGATTGAACGAGAAACCAGCTGCAATCGTGCCAATCGCAACTTTTTGGCCCTTTCCGTCACTCTTCGGTTTAATGATTATAGCCGATGTAGTTCCGATTGCAATCGTGACAATTCGGGCGATTCCGTCATACTGCGGAATCAGACGAAGTAATATTACGGAAATCTAAGCTATTTTAGTTACTTCGGTAATCCCAGTTTGTTTATATAAATAGGATTTCTATTTTTACTTGATTTATCGTAAATTATAAACGAAATTGTTCCGTTTCAATTCTTTTTCAAGACACAAAAGTTAGTTTCTTTTATAATTGTTTTTGTCTGTATTAGTTTTATACAATCAGGTACGTATATTAACATATATACCTGATACAATAGAGGATGGTTACGTCTCCAAAGGGTGGTCTTGCTTACCAAATCACACAGAATATTAGTGCATGATCGAGTTATATTTAGATCTAATGAACGCAGTGAGGTAATCTAAAAATAGCCCATGCATATCATTAACCTTACCACGTTAGCGCATCGTATCTGTGGTCATACATGCTTATTAATTGGTACCACGTAACGAAGTATTTTAGTGCATTTACTTGTCCATAAAGATGCTATATAAATGAAATTTGCAACTGCCAAAACGAATGATTTCTCTGGAAATGAAATGTGCACACTTGTTTCCTTTTCAGTATGATAGAATAGTTAGTATTTTTATGATTGATTATTTTCTTTATAAGTTTTATACAATAGAGAATAGATTTCAGATCGTTTTGACAAAAAATATTCGTTTTTACAAATAAAAACAACTAAATAAACACTTTATGATATTCAAATACCGTAATTCAAAAAAAATTGTGATAATAAATTGAAAAAAAAAACAACAATTTTAAAGGGTTGGGATGAATTTAGGCACAACTGTGCAAGCCTTTCCTTTTAAAAGGAAACTTTATTATTTATCTCATGCGAACAATATACTATGTCATGGCCACAAGTTATTAAGTCCTGACAACGAGATAGCTAAGTCGTGGCCACAAGATACTATGTCGTGGCCACGTGTTACTAAGTCGTAGCCACAAGATAGCTTAGTCGTGGCCACGAGATAAAGTACTATGTCGTGGTGACTTTCTAAAATGCTCCTAAAGACAAGTTCAAAGTGAATATCTTCAGTATTTTCAAAGATTAATGTTGCATGTAAAAAAAAAGTTGTTAAGTTTAAAAAATTCATAATATATGTAGTGTATTCTGATTGGTTAATTATCTCGTTGCCATAAATTAGTAACTCGTGGCCACGACATAGTAACTCCAAGCACGAGATAAATAAAAACACATGTCACCTTTGTTCCATTGTACTTATTTCCAAAAAAAACCAAAAAACAAGAGGGCCATGATGACCCTGAGGTCGATCACATGTATATAGGCCCCTGGAGCGGGGCAAGTTTAAAACCCAGTGCTTTTATTTGAACAAACTTGGAAGACACCCATTAGAAGATGTTTCATGATGTTAAGTTTTTACTACACACATATAATGAAAAACAATGACCTTCCCATCCCCCACCCCCCGGCAGGGCCAATTTTAATCCAAAGGCTTTTATTTGGTAGACACCCATAAGAAGATGTTTCATGCTGAACATCTAAGCTCTAGCTCTAGCTCTATCTCATTGGGTTTTTTTAAAGAAGATTTTTTTAAGTTTTTACTATACACATATAGTTAAATACAATGAAACCCCTGGGGCGGGACCAGTTTTGACCCCAGGGCTTTTATTTGAACAAACTTTGTAGACACTTACTAGAAGATGTTTCATGCTTAATATCTAAACTCTAGCTATTTGGGTTTTTTCAAAGAAGATTTTAAGTTTTTGCTATACACATATAAGGAAAATCAATGACCCCCGGGGCGGGGCCAATTTTGACCCCAGGTCTTTTATTTGAACAAACTTTGTAGACACTCACTAGAAGATGTTTCATGCTTAATATCTAAACTCTAGCTCTTTGGGTTTTTTCAAAGAAGATTTTTTAAGCTTTTGCTATACACATATAAGGAAAATCAATGACCCCCGGGGCGGGGCCAATTTTGACCCCAGGGCTTTTATTTGAACAAACTTGGTAGACACCTATTAGAACATGTTTGACGCTAAATATCTTAGCTCTAGCTCTTTGAGTTCTTTAAAAGAAGATTTTTAAAGTTTTTACTATATGCATATAGGGAAAATCAATGACCCCCTGGGGCAGGGCCAATTTTGACCCCAGGGCTTTTATTTGAACACACTTGGTAGACACTCATTAGAACATGTTTCATGCTAAATATCTTAGCTCTAGCTCTTTGGGTTTTTTAAAAGAAGATATTTAAAGTTTTTTCTTTCGGTTGCCATGGCAACCAGAGTTCTGCATGGAATTAAATTCTTTGAACAATTTTTAAAGGTGACCACCAAAGGAACATTCCTGTTAAGTTTGGATAAAATTGGCCTAGTGGTTTATGAGGAGATGTCATTTAAAGTAAAAGTTTACGGACGCCGGACGGACGCCGGACGAATGCCCGACGAAAAGCGATCACAAAAGCTCAGCCTGTCACTTTGTGACAGGTGAGCTAAAAACCAAGAAAAACAGCATGATTGTGGCATAAATTACAGGTGGATAAATAACTTTTTACAAAGAAAACAAAATAACTAAAATCATATCTAAAACTCCTTTATCAATGTAATACAAATCTGTTGTTCTCAGAGTGTTAACAAAATATTTGAAAAATAACCAAATATCTTACTTGCTTACAATAGAAGGCATATTACACTGTAACCAGGAATGAAATGGTTCCTCGGTCTCACCCTTTGTGAACACTTTCCATTCCAAATCATCAGGGTCAATATTCTGTTCATCATTGTTTTCAGTATCCATTGGCTCCATTTTTTTTTCTACCTAACAAATACATAACACAGTAACATTAAGTCACTTATACATGTACTTGTACATGAACTTTCTTGGTAAACTGATATGATTCTTAACTCATTCAGCCCTGAACACAATCTTCCACATATTTACCCCTACTGATAACTGATAAGCCAACTCCTATGTACAATGTACATATTGATTTTATCTTGGGATATATTGTATACTACACATCTAGATGAATGTTTAATTGGAACCTCTCTGATCCTCTTAGAAAATTGCATTTCTCTTTAGTGTTGATTGCTCCACACCCACAGGCACGGAGCTATTTGTGTTTACTATTTTTTTTGTCCATGGGACCGAATTTGAGCAATAAATCCTTTCGATTTACAGCTAAAAGTAAATCCGCATTCAAAAACTCCTTTCGATTTCTATATTGGTTTCCCCGTCGGTGATTCACAGCATGTCATATTAATGAATGAGAACCGGAAAGCAGTTCTGCTGTTACATAAATTCGAAAGCTAAAAATAGCTATAAATGTTCTGATTTGTTATTTCCCTTTTTAATAGTACATGAAATCATAATTTGTTACATTTTGAAATACATTTACACACAGCATATCAAGTATACTATTTGTGATTGAATTTGTCAATATAAAGAAGATTTCAGGCATAAGATTTTAACAATTTTGCTTTTGATAATTATTTTTAATCTATATTTATGAAATTAAATGTTTAATAATAACATGTTGATATATTGGTTGTTTTGAAATAATTAAACTTTAGTATATAATGTTACATTTCATTAACGTCATTGGTACAGCATACCACTTTGTGAAAAAGAAAAGAAGTTATTGGTATGACTTGTGGTATATTTTGTGGGGTCCGTACTCGACAGCGAAAGCTGCATTTTGTAGCCCTACGAGCGGATGGACCCTCATTAAGGTGATTCCACTTTGTCAGCACAGTCTGTCCAAAGTGAAAGTAGGCCAAACTTCATATAACAACAAAGCTCTTATTGTAAAATGATGAACCATTTGAAAGTACACTTCCAGGTTTATATTTTAAGGACAATTATAAACAAAAATAAATATGATAACAATAAGAATATTTACCTTGAATGTGCTACATTTCTGAAGACCAAAAACATTTTGTTGCAAAGTTTTATGCACATTTCATGAATGGCAAAATCCTTTTTAAAGTCTGTTTTAGTGCCAACAAAAGCTATTTTTCTGCAGGAAATACAAAAATCTTTCAAAACTTAACAACTCCAAATAAATCAGTATCTCATGTCCTTCTAAGCACATGGCCTCCATTATTTTTTGTACAAAAGTAGTACAAGAAAACAATCATCATTTACACGCCCGTTTAACTCACAACGAGTGAAAAATGTCCATCGGTAAAAATGTTGTGAGCAACTTCCGTTCCTCGTTGTGAGCACCCATCTAGGACGTGTGACACGATAAACAATGTGAGTTTTTCATAATTTTTGAATATTACAGACATTTATGTAAAAATATCGGAATGCAGTTAGCTAGCGATGTGTTTTCCGAGTATGCACATGTAAAGATATTGCCTGTTGGTCGACAATTTGATGGAAATACCGTGCGACGCAGTCACTTGGGGTAGCTGGAAAACTGGAGACAACTTCTCGCCGGACCAAATTTAACATTGAAAAACGTCGATTCTGGTGACGTTTTTTGCATTCTAACCTATAACAGATGCCCACAAGTCTTCAGCGTAAATTATTACATGAAAGTCTTCATAGAAAGGAAGATATACCCTTATTTGCTTTAATCCTCGTTGTGAGCACCATAACCTCGTTGTGAGCAAGACAAGCGCAGTGCGTGCTCACCATAACCTCGTTGTGAGCAAGACAAGCGCAGTGCGTGTCTGGTTTTAATATGTAATTCAAGTGGGGAGAATACAATTTTCAATCTACCAAAAGCAATCAAAACGTTTTTCACAATAGTTTCTCTTTGCAATAGTTCTTCTTTGTCTACATAACTTGGCCAGTCTAACATGAATAAAAATCAGGATAAATACATGCATGTTTATATCACACAGACTGCCCTCTATGTTAACTCTGGCAACACGAAGTATGTGCAATTTTAAAAATACATAATTTACCTCCCCTTATTAGTTCACCACCATTTGCACAAACAGCAAAACATCTGCAAAATTGTAGGTATAAGTAGTTTTTTTGTTTACCATTATCTATTAAGCTAAGAATATACTAGTGAAGTGTTAAAAGTTACAATACACAAAATAAGTAATCCTCCGCGAAAAACGATAGTCGCATATAATAACAGATTCAAATAGTTCTCAGCGTTTGTTTGCTCTGTACACGAGCATTTTTCATGATTTTAGTTGCACTGTCTTTCCTAGAAAGCTCATGACAGTCTGTGTTTGACATTTAAATAGCATTTTCATCATGAAATAGTGGCATTTTAAGAAATCTTCTTGACTTCTTAGGTGTTTCACCACTGGTACAATTTTGGGTTAGCTAATTTTATGTACAGTGTGTTTAACTGAAAAGAATGTTTTTGCAAGAGACATGACCAGAACTTTTCTTTTGATTTTTATGCATCACTGACAGTTTTTCTAGTAGTTCTTATCTTTTTCAGACCAGGGCAAGTACATACTTGATGCCTCGCTTCGGTCTCTCCTTGAACGACCCCATGTCCAATCACTGAAAAGAATAGTACTGCAGTTGGAAGGCCTTGTCCAAAGAGGTGTTGTGCCTAAATATGAATTAAATTGATTTACTAATAAGGACATTATGGCCAATCTTAAATGTTTTTGGACAATTTGACCTTCAAGATAAAGGCCATTCAGGGGTCAAGGAAAAAAATACAGGCCCGTAGGAAGGTCAGGTCTTGTGCTAAGGGATGTTGTGTTCAAATATGAATCAAATCCATTTACTAATGAGGAAGTTATGGCCAATGTTAAAGTTTTCGGACGGATTGACGGACTGACGGACGGACAGTTCAAAACTAATATGCCTCCCTTCGGGATATGCACAACGTCTTGCAAAGAAATGCTGCTGTGCAAAAACGTTTTAATTGCTTTGGTAGGTTGAAAATTATATTTTCACCATCTTTTGTTTGTTTTGGGTTTTACGTCACATCGACACAGTATAGGTCATATGGCGATGTTCCAGCTTTACTGGTGGAGAAAGACCTCAGGTGCCCTTCCGTGCATTATTTCAGGCACGAACGGGTACCTTAGTAGAACCACCGACGTTCCGTAAGCTAGCTGGATAGCCTCCTCACATGAAAGAATCCAAAGTCCCTGTCGGGAGGTGAGGGGCAAGTGGTTTGAAGTCAACGACCTTAACCACTCAGCCACGGACGCCCCCTTTTTCACCATCTGAATAACATATTAAAACCAGACACGCACTGCGCTTGTCTTGCTCACAACGAGGTTATGGTGCTCACAACGAGGATTAAAGCAAATAAGGGTATATCTTCGTTTCTATGAAGACTTTCATGTAATAATTTACGCTGAAGACTTGTGGGCATCTGTTTAAGGTTAGAATGCACAAAACTTCACCAAAATCGCCGTTTTCAATGTTAAATTTGGTCCGGAGAGAAGTTGTCTCCAGTTTTCCAGCTACCCCGAGTGACTGCGTCGCACGGTATTTCCATCAAATTGTCGACCAATAGGCAATATCTTTACATGTGCATACTCAGAAAACACATCGCTAGCTAACTGCATTCCGATATTTTTACATAAATGTCTGCAATCTTCAAAAAATATGAAAAACTCACCTTGTTTATCGTGTCAAACGTCCTAGACGGGTGCTCACAACGAGGAACGGAAGTTGCTCACAACATTTTAACCGATGGACATTTTTCACTCGTTGTGAGTTAAACGGGCGTGATTTATAGCCTTATGAACTACAATTAAAATGAAAACACCATCTAACTTTAAAATCTAACCTTTTTATGTGTAACAGTGAAGTGTGTTTGTTTGTCATGTACACAAGAAATAGGTAAATGATGTTTATTTTCATGGTACTACTTTTTTTACACATGCCATGGAAGCCATGTTTTTTCAAGGTCAGATAAACTACTTTCCTAAGATTTATGTTTTTTGAAGTGTTTTGTATTTTCTGTAAACAATAGCATTTGTTGGCACTAAAATAGACTTTAAACTGGATTTTGCCATTCATGAAATGTGCATAAAACTTTGCAACAGAATGTTTTTGGTCTTCAGAAATGTAGCCTATCCAAGGTAAATTTCTTATTGTTACCATTTTTATTTTTGTATAAAATAGTCTTTATAACATAGAACTGGAAGTGTACTTACTAGTCTTGCAAATGGCTCATCATATAACAATGTGAGCTTTGTTGTTATATGAATTTTGGCCTACTTTCACTTTGGACAGACTTTAGGGAAAACAAACATGGCTGACAAAGCGGAATCACCTTAAGCATAGGCTATAGATAGATATCATGACAACAACAGAAACTTTGATCTGCAGTTTGAACATAAGTGTAATGTTTTTTATGAATGGTTTTAAAGCAATTCAACAAAAAATATAATTATATTGATCTCCCAAAAAATTAATTAATAATAGTTTTTTTTTTTATATATTACCAATGTCAAATAACTTTCATATCTTTGTCTCGCACGAATATGATATAAGTGAATTTCCTCATACCTACCTAAAATTCAGGTAACAGTCCTCTATTATATTGATAAATACTGTATCACCATGTAACGCGTGTATAACAAACAAAAAAAATCCTGAATTTGGTCTCTTTGAAATTCATCCCATTTTTAGCTCGACTTTTCTATGAAAAGGGGAGCTATCCTACTCGCCCCGGCGTCGGCGTCGGCGTTGGCGTCACACCTTGGTTAAGTTTTTCGTACCACCCCACTTTATTTCAGAAGTATTACAAGTATGGCTTTGAAACTTACCATACTTGTTCACCATCATAACCTCCATCTACAGACAAGAGTACATAACTCTGTCAAGGTTTTTGACAGAATTATGGCCCTTTTTTGACTTAGAAA